CGGAACACAATAAGCCTAATGTTCGGCCGGTCCCGGCCCCTATGCCGAAGCTGCTGGCCGCCGAAGGGTGCAGGGGAGGGGAGATGCCGGGAAATTGGCCCCGCCGGCTGCCAATGTAACTAAACTATTCACAATGACCGTCAATGTAACAAACGCGGGGGCGACATTGATTTGCATATGAATTAGCGCGATATGTACATATGAATGGGTCGCGGCTTACTGATCTGCAAATTACAGCGGCTTATTGATATGCACATTACCGCAGCCCATTCATATGTAAATATCTCGGCCGGGACAGGAACAGCACCAGCAAGCTCCGCAGAGAGCACAGAGTAGAGAGAGCTGAGTGAGGAGGTGTTTTCTGGCCTCCCCCCACCAGCGCCCTCTAGTGTCTCCTGTGTGGTACTGCCGGCTCTGAGCCAGCCATCGGGCATAGCGGACCGGCCCGAACACAATCAGGTTGATTGTGTTCGGCCCGGCCCACCGGGCAAGTGCCCGGTTTGCCCTATGGCCAGTCCGGCCCTGGCGATGAATGTGGTGTGAGAAGATGTTTGTGCTCAGCATGTGGTCTGAGTCACACAGTAATGTAAATTAATCTTCCCCCCCATCATAGAGCCTTTCCTGGGCCCATCACATGATCCTGAGGACCCGATCACAATGCCCTGCACTATGTGTGTATATGTGTTGCGGGTGGAATGCATTTATACTGTAACATCTCATTTACACAACCCTCCACTATACAGGGGGCGGAGCTGGGAACATGCTACATCACTTACAGTGACGTTACGCATTCTGCAGAAGCTCCGCCCCGTTCCGCTGAAGCTTCACCCTATCCCACCAAAGCCCCGCCCCCAGCTTGGTAACCAAGCTGTGTGGGGAGGTGGAAGGGGGGAGCCTCCCTGTCCCTCACTTGCTCATCACTGGTGAGGCATCGAGATTTTTTTTGTCGTTAGAACTTTATTATTTACTTTATTTACTAGAAGAGGACCTGATGGAGAACTTCAGGTCCCCCTCTGCTGATTGACAGCAGCAGTGGGCGGGTGCAATAGCTAGTTTGCTATTGGCTATTGCAAAGTGAAATAGCCAATAGGAATCTAGCTATGCATTCCTATGCTCGTTTTTTTTTTTTTTTTCTGACTGCCGGCGGCTCCAATGTCAGAAAAAAAAAAAAAACCAGATAGCAGGGAAAGGTTTCCTCTGATCGATCGAGCAGAGTAAACCTTTCCCGGGAGAAAGTGTTTCTCTCCCGGGGCTGCCGGGAGCCGCTATCTAATAGCGGGAGATTCCTGGAGCGTCCGGGAGAGGTGGGACGTCTGCTTTCTGTCTGGTATCAGGTTGTCCCGAGGGACAGGAAGCGAGAGGAAATCTCTGTAATGGAGGCGTGGAAAGCAGTAATAGGTGAATAATGATACACCCGCGCTATTAATTCAATCTAAAAATGCATATGAATAATCCTAAATGAATTGTGCTAATGATAAATAATAAAAGTAGAAAAAAAATGCACTAGAGCATAAAAAACAAAGTAACCAGGTAGTGTAAAAAAAACAAACAAAGCTAATAGTCCATATTATAGACATGTGCAAAAAAATTTGTTTAGTTTCGTTTCGTTTTAAATTCGGATTTGTGTTATTTCGTTTTTCGGGATTCGGGTGTGAAAGTCAATTCGGATTCAGACTAAATTCGTTAGCGGCAGTTCGTTCGAACGTTCGTTTTCGTTTCGTTCATTCGTTCGTTTGCAAAGTGACATTTTAGGGGGGAAAATGTTTTTCTCCTTCACTTTGCTCCGTCCAACGAACGCAACGAATAAGAAACGCAAACGAAACGAACGTTCGAACGAACTGCCGCTAACGAATTCCGGATTCGTTTTCATTCGTTATATCTGTATTTCGGAATTCGGATACATCCGAATTTCCGAAAATTCGTCCGAATTTCGATTCGGAACGAAACGAATCGCGCGTGTCTAGTCCATAATAGTATAAAAATTCTGATAAATGTTCATATAGAAAGTGACAAAATCATCCGCAGTGTTCGTGTAAAAACCCCTCATCAAACTAATAAGACATAAGATTACAATAATTCCTAAAAAAAATAAAAAATTGAGCAGGATATATAAGAGGATAATAAGTAATCATCTGGTCCAAAAGGATCCTTCAAAGCAATTCCTCCAAGATATTAGGCAAAAATATCCAGATCTCTCAATGATTTATATCAATCAGAATGCGCGGGCAGTGCAAACAAGGAGATGATGATGAGCGCTCCTCAGATAGACGGGAAAGGCTATTCCTCCAAGATGCCATACAGGACCATCGCCGTACCCAAAAGAGAAAAAAACTCCAATAGTGAAGTACATCACATTATTATTATTATTATTACATAGTATTTATATAGCGCCAACAGTTTGCGCAGCGCTTTACAATATAAGGAAGACATTACAATCACAATACAATACAAGATGGTAAGGAGGGCATCACATCACATCAAGTCTAATAAGGGATAAAAAGAAACGCTTACAAGATGGCCGTAGTGTATGAGCATGTAGCAAACAAACAGTTGACCGATTCTCAGGAGCTGAGTCACTTCCTGTTTTAGGGAAATCTCTGCCAGTCACCTGTACGGTCGGCCGATACTTATGTAAGTTAAATCTGACCTTTCCACATTCTATCCATAAATCTTCTATAAGAGCCTCATTCCTCCCCCCTAATGAATCACTTTTGTCTGTGTTACCGTTGGAGAGATTCGGTCACTTCCTGTCTGGTATCAGGTTGTCACAGGAAGTGAGGGGACAGGAAGTGAGAGGAAATCTCTGTAATGGAAGCGTGGATAGCAGTAAACCTGACGGGGGTTCTGACCTTTCCACATTCTATCCATAAATCTTCTATAAGAGCCTCATTCCTCGGGGGAAGGGGGGGGGACCCCCCCCACTTCCTTCCTCACATACAATACAGGACTGCCGATCCTCTAGTATGTGAGGACGTCAGAGTTCTTATCTCTGCCTGTGTCCCCGCTGGGGAGATTCTCCTCTATATTTCTCCCGGTGTCACTCAAGACAGAAGGTGGTGAGAGAATCTAAAAATTGGGTTGTCACCATAACGGGGTGAAATCTTCCTCCTGTTTAGTGATCACTTTGCGATGTTTTACAGGAGAGGAAGAGACGGAGATTGTGGTGACACAAAGTGCAAACCAGAGTCATAGCTTCAGTTTGTTTTCCACCTCCTGTTCACATAAGTCAAACTGAAAACTACTGGAAGGTTAATTGGCTCCTCTCTAAGTTGGCCCTCTATGTATGCGTGTGATGATAGGGACCTTAGATTGTAAGCTCCTTGAGGGTAGGGACTGATGTGAATGTGCAACTATGTAAAGTACTGAGTACATTGTCAGTGCAATATAAATACCTGTAATAATAATGTAACATCTCATGTACACAACCCTCCACTATACAGGGGGCGGAGCTG